AATGGCATATCAAAGAGATGCTAGATAAAAAAAATAAGCACGCCAATTTTCAGTAGTTATGTCAGTCCAGTGGATCTTTGTAAAAAGAATTAATACCCAATTACGCACCCAAAAAGGCGGCGTTTTGCAATAGACTATCGCAACCTAAATAGTGTTACAAAATATCCGGTGTACCCACTACCCATTATTGAGGAAATCTTAGAAGTATAACTTCCACTAGATATATGACTACATTAGATTTAATATCTGGTTATTTTCAAATAGACGTAAAGCCTGAAGATGTATCAAAAACAGCGTTTAAAACCAAGTCTGGCACTTATACATTTTTGCACATGCCGTTTGGCTTGTCAGGGGCACTAGCAACATTTCAACGTTGTATGGGCATTGTTCTAAGACTCGTCCTAGGGAAGAGCACCTTTATATATTTAGATGACATCATTATCACCAGTGATAATTTGGATCAACATATAAAAGTTTTAAAAGAGGTGTTTCCGTTATTAAATGAGGCAGGTCTAGAAGTTAATGTTGATAAGTGAAAATTTGCAGCTACAGACTTACGTTATTTGGGGTATAAAATTTGTCAGAAAGAAATTGAAACACATAAATAAAAAATAATCTATCCGCCGCCAAATACAGCGAAAAAATTATCTTCTTTTGTATGTATGTACTCATACTTCAGATCCTTCATAAAGAATTTTGCGCTATTGCTGGACCGCTATTAAAATTAAAACGAAAGAAAGCAAATTCTCCTGGATGGCTGAAGCTAACATTGCTTTTGAAAAATTTAAATAAGCGTTAACACAAGCCCCTGTTTTGAAATAAACGATGAAGATTTAGAGATTGCGGCAGACGCGTCGGATTACGCCGTAGGACGGTGCTTTCTCAAAATAAGCGGCCCGTGGCATTCTTTAGTCGTACTTTAAATGATACTCAAAGGAAGTATTCCGCCACTGAAAAGGAGACACTCGCAGTTTGCTAGCAGTGCAGAAATTCTGAGTCTATTTTGTAAGTTCTTCAGTAACAGTTTATTCCGATCATGCGGCGGTCGCTAGATTATACTCTGGGAAGTTACTAGTTATTCCCAATTATTACTCATTATTACTCACTAGTACTTATTATTACTCACTAGTTATTCCCAAGGCTAATGAGATGGGCACTTAAACTACAAGAATATAACTTGATAATTAAACACACGCCGGGAAGGAAAAACATTGTAGCAAATGCCTTGTCAAGAATTAAAATAGGTGAAAATGGGAACACAGTTAAAGTGGAAATGCTCACATAACAAATAATAGACTCTCGTGAAACCGTAATAGCCGAACTGGGCAAAGATCCTAAATTTAAAAATATATATGAATATTTAAGAGATCCCGAAAACTTTAGTCACCAGGATATTGTGGCGATAAGAAATAGGGCGGCTCACTATGAACTGATAGATGGATCGTTATTTTATACGATGACTGCGAATAATAATCATGAATTTCGAACTGTTATTCCAGAATTATTATAGTCTTAGATTAAAAATTTAAAGGAATTACATGATTCGCCTCTGGCAGGCCATTGCGGCATTCAGAAAACTATCCAACGCGTACGCGAAGCAGTTTATTTTTCTGAACTACAAAAGTTAACAATAGCGTATGTCCATTCCTGCGCAACATGCCAGTTAGTTAATTATGTTAATTTCCGCCCGACCGGGTTTCTAAATAGCATTACATCACAATTTCCAAATAAAATAATAGGCGTCAATTTATTGGACCCTTTTCCTAAAAGTGAGTTAAATAAAAATAGGTATCTCCTCATTGTGATCGAGCATTTTAATTAAGTGGACGGAATTTGTTCGCTAAAACGAGCCTCCGCGATATTAGTTACTGATTCTATCTTAAATAAATATACGAGGGATATTCGAGAGTAAGGAACGTTTTGAAATTATAAAGAAACTAAGTACAAGAAAAAAAATTATTATATGCATCAGAAAGATCGACTAAAATTCTACTTTTCTACATAGTCACCAAACAAATTGAGGCACTTATAACAGCGGTGGACAAGCTTTGAAATTCTTTCGTCATAGAATTCTGCCGCCTGCGATCTCAGCCACTCAGTGACGCGCACCCGCAGCTCCTTGTCGTCGTCAAAGCGCTGTGTTGCTAGCCAGTTCTTCATTCTTGGAAACAAATGAAAATCACTAGTTGCAAGATCTAGACTATAGGGCGGAAGGAGAAACCTCCCATTTGAATGAAATTAAGGAGTTCTTGAGTGTGGTTTGCCGTGTGAGGTCGGGCATTGTCGTGCAAAAATAAAATTTTGTACGTCAACTTTCCTAGGCACTTGTTTTGAAGTGCTCTCCTAAGGTTGCGCAAAGTTTGACAGTACCGCTCAGAGTTTATTGTGACACCACGTTCGAGAAAATAAATCAGAAGCACACCTTGCATATCCCAAAACACAATCGCATAATCTTCTTTGGTAACAAGGTTTACAAACATTTTCTTTGTCTTTTGGGGAAACTTGTGTGCCCCCACTGCATGAACTTTAATTTTGCCTCGCAATTCACGTGTCTCACCCACGTATCGTCACCAGTTACGATTCGATCCAGTAATGAATCACCATGCCTGTCATAGGCCTCCATAAATGTCATAGCTGCCCCCATTCGCTGACCTTTATGGTGGTCTGTAAGCAATTTCGGCACCCATCTTGCACAAAATTTGTGGTAGCCTAGCTTTTGTGTGACAATTTCAAACAACAATGTCCGTGAAACTTGTGGAAAACTAGGCGAAAGCTCCGTTATTGTGGAACGGCGGTTTTCACGAATCTTTTCATCAACTTTAGCGAACAGTTCGCCAGTCACAATGCTAGGGCGTCCACTCTTCACTTCATCGTGAACGTTAGTTCGGCCATTTTTAAACTGAATGCACCATTTCCGGATTGAACTTTCATTCATTACCTTGTTTCCGTACACTTCACCCACTTGCCGATAAATTTCCATAGGTTTTAGTTTTTTTTGCCAACAAAAACCGTATCACAGACCGCACCTCACAACTGGCGTGATTTTCAATTGTAGCGCACATTTTAAATTTGAATATCGAAAAAACGGGCAGCGTGGAAATGTTCCCGTTGTGATGGCTGGACGCCGACTAAGATGTCAAGCGCGCAGACACCAAAATATATGTGATCGGCGGCCGCCTAGCGACGTCAGACGGAAACGTTCCTTACTTCCTGAATAGCCTACGTATTTTAAAGTACGGGGCGCCCGTAAAAGTTATATCGGATAATGGTCTCCAATTTATTAGCAACATTTTTGAAGACATGTGTGAAAACTGGGCATATGTCATTTAAAAATGGTCCCGTATCGTCGGCAATCAAATATAGCAGAACGGGTCAATAGGAACATAGTTAAAATTATTCGTAGTTATGTTAAAAATTTTCATAAAAGCTGGGATAAACATGTCAATGAATTAACTTTCGCTCTTAGAACTGGCAAGCACGACACGACACGCAAGACACCTTCTGAGTTAGTTTTAGGCAGGAAAATTATAACTCCGTTGGACACATTGTTTTATGTTCATAAAAGGGCTCTTGAATTTCAAATGTCGGATATACAGAAGTTAATTCATGAAACAAAGGAAAACACTGTAGAATCACAGAAGAAACAAAAACTTAAGAGGCGTCTTAAACGGCTAGAAAATTACGGCAAATATCGACCAAAATCAAGCCATACTACAACCGAAATAAAATTAAAATTTTCCAAGATCTTTTGCAGGATCCGTCACGGCAGGCACCCTCTCCAGACACGCCAAGACAACAACGACCGCAGAGTCGAGAAGTCGACAACAAGGAAGGAAAGAGGTGAGAAAAGAAAAGCCTCCCCTCCCTCCGACGGAAAAGCGGAGGTAACAAGAAGATGCAAGAACCAAATTTCATTAACAGTCTCAGCGATACCGTGGCAGGTAGAATACGAAAGTTATAGCACTATTGGTTGAAACTATCAACAATCTCTGTCTAAACTAAAATTCGTACTCTATATTTAAACTTATTTAATTTGGGTTTTTAGTGTAACTTAGAAAGGCAGAACCATTTGAAATATTCAACTAAGAAATAACGCGTTGCTTAAAATATGTCTTGATATGCGTGTATTTAAAAACGCTGCTAAGGTGTTTAGAACCGTAACCTCTAATGCAGGAAAAAAGCTCATAGCATAACTTGTAAAAATCGGCATCTCGTTATTTAACATTAAGAAAACTGCCCACACATGAGTATGGAAAACAAAGATTAGAAAACGGTAAAAGTAATCAATAAAGCAAATATTTAAAACATTTACATATAGCAGCGTCAAATGGTTCGACTGGCATAATACCAGTTTACCCCTCCATAAATTAAAAGAAGGGAAAGTGGTTGATTATTCTTTCATAGTCATATAGTTTGTCACAGAAACCTAATTTTCTATTTTTATCAAATAGATTTAGATGAAAACCATTTCCGATTGTTTAAATTTATTTGAAATATTAAAAGCAACAGCACGTAAAAAGCTTAACATTTACATAAAAAAGCAATTGCAAATTTAAAAGCGTTTGATAGAATATTTAGCATTTTTTGTAATTATTTTAAACTTCCGCGGTTATCTTTGTTAAAAAATTTCACAAATAAATATTTATTTATATCTAAAAACTATTCAAGGGCTAAAAGAAATCACAGAAGTATTCCTTTCAATAACGAAAATAATCTAATCTAAATTCTTAACTCAGCTTTTCATTCTAGAATATCAATATTGATATTTGCGTAGAAATCAGAGTAATAGAAACTGTGAATAATTTATTGTTTTAGAGATGACCTGATTCGCAGGTGGAAAAATTCACAAGCGTGAGAACTTAACCTTCGTTTATACAGATATAGTCTTTCAATTTGCAGGGTAAAAAAACAGTTTATGAGAAATAACAAACGTATAATTGATAAAGTTATTGAATACGACTGATACTTGACTATATAAAAATATCCCCGATAACGATATTACTTGAGTCCTTTCCATTAGCAGTAAACATGATCAAGATCGTGGGGGCTTTTCTTTTTGCAATAGCAGCTGTCTCTGCTATTAGAGATGAAGGTAAGATGTACCTTTTTTGATTAGACAGCTTTTTACGTTAAGCCAACATAACATTTATTTGATACAAAATATGAATTTTTTTTCCTTTATGCCTGCTAGTGACTGCGAACAAGATCTCCGTATACAAGTAGGTCGACTCAGATGCAAATACTTGTGAATGGGCTGGGAATTTTTATGATTTACCTATGTGTAATATGAATACGAGCTACTTTTCCTTAGAAATTCCTCCTCAAAAATCTCTCTTTCCTTACTCAAATAGCCTTGTAATGCTTTGGGGTAGCCCAGTAACCCAATTTTTCTGGGTGCCCTCTTATGAATGTAAATCTGTAGAACAATGTTATGTCGTTATCTAAAACTTAAGTTTCAGATTAAGATTAACTGACATCGTTATTTAAATAACAACTAATTTTTAACCGTTTGATTTTGATTCAAGGCGATAAGTATTGATATCCAAATGCCGTCCATAAGCCGAAAGATAAGATTTTGCTGCAAAAATTAGGTCAAAACTAAATATATGTGCATAAACCGAATATAAAATCGTTCTATTAATCTAGTTAGATGTATCGCAGTTTTGAGAATAATTGGTCATCTGACTCAGCTAGAATTATCAGATGAGTTAAAGGTGAATGCCAATTCTCTTTCAAATTCCCTCCAAAAAACAAGTGCGTAGTTAGAATGAGTGGTCTTTGTTGGTAACAATACTTACTCTTTTTCAATTCTCTTAGCTTTGGGGTATGGCCATCATTTGACGCTTTTGCAATAGTGGGATGAATTTTGTTTTGAATCTCAGTTGTGCTAACCATTCTCGAATAATCAAGACTCTTAACCAGCGGCCGAGCGGTAAAGTTGCTGAACACTGGTAGTTCGGTTCGAATCCCGCGAACGAGCTGCCTGCATGGGCGTTTTCGTGGTTTTCCCCATGTGTAACATGTATACGAGCCACTTTCCCTTAGAAAGTCCTCCACGAAGGCATCCCTCCCTTTAGGCAGATAGCCCTAGTGTGCTTTGCCATAATCTCAATAAACCGAACCAAACCATTTAATGTATTAACGAAAATGCTCTAAATAAAGAAATTATGCATTTAAAAATAAAAACAAATTTTTCCGAGATAATTTATTTTCGTATTTAAAGAAATAACTGATATTAGTAAAGTTTAAAGTTTAAACTTTACTAATATTAATTTTTCCTCACTTGCTGCCGTAAATTAGTTTATTAGACTTAACTGTCATCGGCTATCTACTACTAGAAAGAGCTTCATTAACATGAAAAAATAACTTTTCTTTTAAGACTTTTTCTTTTCACATAACTTTTCTTTTAACTAATTATTTTAACATGAAAAGATAATCTTTAAAAATAAATCATATAATAAAATATATAAGTAATGTAAAAAAAGTAAATGATAAAAAAGTATCTATTACAAAAAATAAAGCTTTGATAAAAAAAAAGTATTAATCTACAGCTTGTCGATAATCACAAAACTAAATTGCAATTTTGCAATTTAGAACTTTTTTTGCTACCCCAATGGACTAGAAAGCAATTTAGAATTTCAATGAAGATAATCAACACTAGATTTCAAAGCATTTCCACTTATATCAAAGAAACTGATTGAACATCAATCAAAACTCCTCAGCGTGGTCTTCGTTATAAATAATAAATTAATTCATTCACCTCTATAGTTGAGATTTTAAACCACAAATTTTCACTATATTCCAGGTTTATTGAGGGGAAAGCACAGGCATTGAAGATTGTGAGAATCTAGCACGGCACGTTTGCTTACTACTAGCGCCCTTAATTAAATGAAATTAAACTGTATTATTTGCAATGTGTTTGAGTTTGAAACAAGAAACATCGATCAAAACATAACAAAATAAGTTATTAGTTAAGTTTGGGAAAACAAATCTGACTACATTTTTTACCAATCGTAAAAGACTATTGCCAACTTTACCATTAGTAACAGCAAAACAACAATCATTTTATGTCGGCTTGGTGGACAATGATATACATTTCTCACCAAATGACGAGAATGTTGTAATTTTACTAGATTTACACAATTTTAAAATTAATTTATATATTTTTTAACTATCCGCTTATTACCTTCTTACTGTAATTAAGTGTTACATAACTTAGTAGTTCATAATAAATAAAACAAATTACATATATTGCCTTTTAAATACAAATTAAGAATCTTTCTAAAAATGAAGTCAATTTTATCAACAACATTAAAAAATTTACCATATTTAATTGAAGGATCATTTTCTTATTATGATATTTTTTTCACAGAAAGAAGTCGCCTGGCTCTTCAGAATCCAGATCTCTTTCAAGGTGACATTTTAGGATTTGAGCCTGGAGTAAGTTGCACAACTTTAATGGTTTATTACATGCTTATTTATATCCCATCTTAAGGTAGACCATACCATTATTTGAAATGACTTAAGCTTGACTTCCGTATTTTACTAAGCACAATTTTGAACTAAATTACAGGTTTTAATACATGTTAAAATAATTTTTGAATGTATTTCAATGTAGTCTTTAGACGTATCTTATATTTATGTTTACTCTTTCGTAATTTTATATGCACATAACAGGGGTATTAGAAAGTAATCGAGTACAGTATTATCGTGCGAGATTGTATCCGATATTTATTAACAAGTAGATTGGAATTAAACTCTATCCTGTTCTTCTTGATTCATTCCACGATGCTCGCTCAGAGTGAAATTTTATGCAAATTAAAGGCAAGCAGCATAGTTTAAAAATAAAACATTAATCTTAAATAGGAGCTTATTGTAGCTTATGTCTCGTCTCTACCGTATAGACTGAAATAATTTCTGCTGTCATTGTGAATGGGATAATAATAAGTTGTTTTATGACTTTAGATAAAGCTTATCTGATCTAGTGGTCGTTTGAGAGTAGAATATTGTTGTAAGTCTCTTGAAACCTATCAAGAAAATTCCCTCTTAATGTGTTTTGTGCAAAAATAAACAATTGGTTTAATTTATATTATCATTTTAGCTATAACTCACAAGAAGAGGTTTAATAAATATCTAATTGGTTTCAATTTGAAGCTGCGTTTTTGATGCAACAGCAAGAGATAATAACTCGCCAAACTACTTAGATAACTCTGTGGTAACCGTAAGTTTTAAAGCCAAGTTTCAAGTCAATTATACCACAGAAATTATAACTAAAACGGGAAATATTAAAACAGAATGATTGAGGGGAAAATGATAAACATCTCCCCTTGCTTAAAAATTATATTTTAAATCTTCGATTCTTAAACTGTGTTCAACGAAAACGTTGAGGTGCATAAATTAAATAATAAGGATAGCCCAGGGACCAATTTTTAAAATTTGATTGAAACCCAAGGTTCCGCGAGTAATTTTTAACAATACTGTAATTTAGATTTTAAAATGTATAACAATAGTTAATTAATAGTTAGCAGTCAGGCAAAAAGCACACCATTTAAATTGATTCTAGAGTACTATAAGTTTGTTTAAGACAGTTGTCTTATATAAATAAGAGTGAGAATCAAATTATTATTGATTTAACATTTACTTCTGTATATTACTGTATGGACGATTTTAGCACGTTGCATTGTAGAGCAGATATTTACAAACAAAATAAGCAGAAATTCGGCATTGCCACCATGATGACTCCTCAATTCAAAATAAACTGCCATCATTATATTCTTTTCCATCGTTCTCTTGCTGTATTGAAGCTCTCCAGTATTTAATTCCTACGGTGAATTACAAAACCGTGAAGAAAATATTTCTGAAAATAAGATAGAGCAAGCCTCGATCTCAGAAGTTCGTTTATATAATCATCCAGTAAATAATATGTACAGGGAATGTCAATCTCTCGAGCAGCAGTTCAGTCTAAACTTTTCAGTGGTTTATACGATGGCATTAAACCTTTCGACGGTTCTTCTGGTAATTTAATAGAATCTTTTTTAAACGGCATAGAAGAATTATTTCAACTGAATAGAATTACGAACAAAGTTCACAAAATTATATTTACAAAATATATTTATCGGGCTCGCTAAAACATTTGTAATGTCAATATCGCCAAATCCTGAGTGTACCGCATACTAGGATTAAACCAAGCATTTTTAAATGCATGGAGATGGACAAAAACGTAACAAACAGTTCATCAGAACTTTTATAGGTAATGAATTTCGTATTTTTGTTCACAGTTTCTCTAATTTTGATGTCAACATTTATTAGTAATTTATCAAAGCCATTAATTTTGTCGTTTTCCATTAAAAGTGTTAATATTTCTTTCTCCTTTTCCATTAATTTTTCCGTTCTGCTTCTCCTGACTGTCAGTGAGTTTTCGGTCAGATATATTGGACAGCTGTTAAATATGCATGGATATGCAACGTCTTTTAACATTAGACGTTTTCTCAGAATTCTTAAAATCGCCCCCTTTATAATCGTGAATACATCTTCACGCACAATCATATCTTCGCAAAAATTGTACTTTTTGCTCTGTATGCGGTAAAATGTTTCATATTATGTCAGCAAATTAATTCAAATAAATTCGTCCTTATTTCAAAATTAATAAATAAAGTCATATTTCAGCAGTAAAATAATTGCTGGCATGTGATTTGCATTGATTTCGAAAATGTGATTTTTTAAAATATATAAAATACATAACTTAATAGCTTACTTTATAGATTAGTTTCATTTTTAAATATTTTGCTATAATATTTATAAAAAAAATATTTTAAGTATTAGTTATTTTAACAAAATTTTAACAATAACTTAGCACGTATTTTTAGTACTAATTAAATTTAATAATTCAAGTATTTATATTTCATTAGATGAATCTACCTTAGATTGATATATTTAGATGAAATAAAGTTATGAAACATTGCAAAATAAATCTTATGCAGACTTCAGATTCTTGAAAGGGCAGATTTAGTCTCTTTTCATTCTAAAAGTAACGCTGATGAATTATTGAAAAGATGCTAAAACGACCACGTCAGGATGTCGTAAAAGTTACCACGACCACCTTGCAACCTCACGGACCAGTTTGCAACGTCTTGACGACGTTGCCGTGCTACTTGGGATATATACGTACGAACGTCATGAAAAAATTCTCATCTGAATCCGTTTTAAATCCATTTTATAATCAGCTATAGAGTGCTTTTTTTTTCTTTCCGTACGTACAGATGTAATGTCTTTCAAATGGATCCCAGATCGGTCAAAATGAATATTTCCGGTGAAATATGATATCCAAAATTTTCGAGATTACAATACTTCCTTCACATCGTACAAGGAAGTAAAAAATGAGGATAAAAAAAAAGAAAAATAATACGTTACAATACTTCCTTTACTCTGATTGCAATACTTCTTTCATTTCATATATGGAAGTAAAAAGGGGGATGAAAAGGAAATTAAAAAAAAAAAGAGAAATAATTTAAGTTGTTAAAAATGTTTTTTTTTAATATAAGGATTATTAAAATGAAAAGCTGACAGTTTGATTCAAGATAATATTTACGATTTGTTTCTCTTTTTAAGGACAGAAATGTTATTCCTTACCAGCAGATGAGATGGCCTAACAAGGAGGTTCCTTATGTTATTGACTTAACTCTGGGTAAGAAAATTTGCGTGAAATAGTATTTCCGAAAACTAATTGCTGGTTTTACTTGTAACCATTATACTGCATTGTTTTTACTGAGATAAAATGCATGAACATTCTTAATTTGTTAAAACGCGAGCTTTAGTTGAAGTTAACTTAAAACTACTATGAAGTTTAATTCTGAAGGCATCTCTAATTGCTATAGTGAGAGCAAATAAATGTTTATTAATTCCCTTGGGCAGTAAATCGCAGTTTTCCAGTCTTAGATAAATAATTTCAATAATAATCTTTTTTTTATAAAGAATCAGTTTAAGGCTACTGTAAATTTTCTCTCAGCTTTCGAAAGGATAACTTATCAAGGTGGTAAAGTTTCCGTTTAGTTTGAGAATGACTATTCAGGTCCATTAAGTGACTCTACTGGCCATTAATAAACGATAACTAGCTGCTTTGGACTGTTGTCAAAGCTTCGTTGATAAAAAGATTAAATGACTCGTGTATTCGACCTATTTTTTTCGTCGTATGCCAGATAAACAATCACTTGGGTACTAAAACAGAGAGTATTAATCTTGTAATTCTAGTACACATAGTGATAATACAAAATTAAAGTCAAAGAATATTCTCATTTGCTAAATGCTCACTTACTTCAATAAATTCAATGAAACTTTCGTAGCTTTACACGTTCAGGTAATTAATAATCGGAAGATTATTGTTCCTTTACATTAAATGTTCAAGAATTTAACTAACCAGAATTATGCTCATTTCGTTGGAAGAAATTTTACTTTAAATGACTTCGAATATCCTGAAACAATTTAAGATATAATAACACCTCTCGCAATTAAATACGAAAATATCTGCACAGCAAATAATACCTCGTTCTAATTTAGTAGAAACTTATTAAGTTTTCTAAAAGGACTTGAGTTTCTCAGTTAGACTTTAGTTTTTTCGATTTTTAACAAATACACTGCTTTAAAGTAAAACACAAGTAACACTAGTTTACATTACACTTGAAGCGTTTTACAAAGAAGAACAAGATCATGATCATACACTATAACATCACTGTCGACTTTACTATCAAAATCCAAGTTACTTTAGCTTAGGAAATGCATTTTTGTTACCAATGGCATTTGTTAAAAGGCAAACTAACATCTTAGAATAATAAAATAAAATAGATGATGCAGTTTTGAATTTCAAAATGTATTTAGTTGGTGCCATTAGATAATTCTAAAAAGGAAATATTTAATACAGCATTTGGCTTAAAAACAGAAGTATGGTACTCAAATTTGGTTCTATCCGAAGTATACAGCTCTCATGCTGAATGAAAGAAGGAACGAATTTCGGTTAAATTTAAGTTATTTCAAAATATCTTAATTAAATATTCAGCTGTTTCATGATGTAAATGAAACGAGTGTCATTGTATGAAATCAACTCACGAATCCATTATATTAATTAACTAAAACTATTGTACTGCAAACTATTAATTGCAAACATCAGTCAATTCTGTTATACTTATTTAACTGTTTCTTCTCCAGCGCCATATACTGCTCTCATTCTGGATGCAATGAGAAATTACCATGATAATACGTGCATCAAATTTGTACCCAGGACTACACAAAAGAATTACATCAAACTTTTCCAGGGACAAGGGTACGTATAAAATCGATATATAAAAGCTGAATTAAATGTTCGAACCCCTTTCAACCAAAACGAGTCACGCTTTTTATGCATTTGCTTATATCGCTTCAAAATGGGCTATAAGAAATGCATTTTCTTGCTAATAACTGTTTGTAAATACACAAATAGAAATCTAGATGCCGCTTAACGTAATGTTCACCGCTATTTGACTAACATCAAGCAAATGATAATTTTAAAGCTCAGAAATATGAAAGCAGTTAGTTAAATGAAAATGTGGTAGAAACATATGACAGGAATTAAAACAACTAACTGAGTAATAGAAATATATTAGACACAAATATATATATATTTCTAATTAATCAGAAATAACAGCCGAAATATTCATTTCTAATAGACAGCTTCGTAGCAGTACTCTTTAGTTCGTATTCAGCGTATTATTGAAAACTATTTGCAGATGTTAATCCCAAACGAAGCGCCGTCCTTACCTCAGCACTATCATAAAATTCTTTTCCGATATTTTCATTTCTTTCTTTTAGATGTATTATAATTGGATCTAAAAGTAACTAGCATAAATCTTCTACTGTCATTAACGCTGCAACTTCAATATTTTCTTTGATAACTACCTAAGCTTCAAACTCTTCTCAACAAGCATTACTTGGAGATGGTTAATTTTTCATTTTGGTATTCTATGTTTATTTAGGTATCGGCTGTCATTTTAGAACAATTCTTTATTTTCCTTTCTAATAATTTCCACAATATGTTCAGGATATACAGCGAATTGATGAAGATAGTTTTCCTTGCTAGTTAATTCTTTTGCATTTACATCTGTATCTACTATATTTTGGAAGATTCTAACTCTTAATCTAGAGACAATAATCTCTTTTCACGGTTGAATTATGAACGAGATACTTATTGGAAAGAATGTAGCATAATTTTAGGAAGACACTTACGTTGTGCTTTCAATCATAAATTTTGAAGCTTTCAGTAAGAAGAAAAAATATCCTTCTTCAGTTCGTTAGTCCATTTCGAAATTCACAAATTGATCATCGACGATTCTGATGACTTACCGTCATTAACATTTGACGATTTCGCAATCTTCATTTACACATTTGATGGTTAAGAAAAGAACTTCTTCAATATTTTGTTCGTATTATACCTGTTGTTCGTACCTGCTGATATAACAGACGATGAATTTCCAATACTATTATATAAAAACTGGCAGGATTTTGACAATGCGATTCCAACATCTGAACAATAATATGTAACGCTATCACATTAAGAGGGACTACGATCGTTGCCATACTTTTATTACGTTATAAGATATAATAGCGGTGTCATGTCTTGATTTGCCATTCAGACGAACTTTCTTCGTCAAAATTAAGCAATGCATAAAGTGAACTTCAGTAACACAAAAGGATAAAACTTTTTGTAATTCTCTGCAGTCTTTAATAATAGTACACAAAAGTAACAGAAACATTCTCCAGTATTTAATTAGATGCAGACAAATATGAAATATTTAATCAATAAGAACGTACTTAAGGTGGAAGAACGAATGAAGCAAGTTTTGTTAATCAAATTTGTTTTGTCATCAAAATCCACCCTCGATTTTGATGAAGAGCTCCAGGGGAACGGGTGCAAGGGTCTCCCACTTCTCTTCCCCTACCACCAACGTTTCGAGAGGACTTTCGACTCGCCGCGTATTTAGAGTTTCCCCATGCTGCGCAGAAAATACACCTTTACAAAATTCATGCCTTCTCCGGATTCGAGCCCGGGTCTTTCGAAATGGCAGTCAGCGTCCGAAACACTATCCCGGTTAGGCGTCGAAATAAGTGTAGAAAGGATATAAGATAAGATAAAAGAAAATATGAAAAACAAATCTCATTGGCATTCCTAAGTTAAAGTTTTGTTCATCTTAAATGTGGTTTTAATTAAATACTTTAAAAGAGATTTTTATTACAGGTGTTATTCTTACGTTGGTATGATCAATCGCGGTGAGCAACTAGTGTCTCTCGGAAGAGGGTGCCATTTTAAGGGAACCATTGTACATGAGCTGGGACATGCCATCGGTTTCTTCCATGAACAAAATAGATCTGATAGAGATGAGTACCTCACCATCTACTGGGAAAACATCCAGAAAGGTAAAAACAAACTCCTTATTGAGAACTATAACTATCGAAAGAATTTGTGTAGTTTATCAAAACGACACTGCACATGAATATACAAATGTTTAAAATTAACCTGAATTAAATATGGTCTATATCTCCATCAAATTAATCTGCGTCTGTGCGTTATGTACCGCTTTTAATGAATGCTTTGTGAATGGAATGTTAAACGAAAAACCTTTAATTGAACTTTATATAGACTGCTTGCGGTGGCTTCAATGATTACTGAGAAGTCAACAACGCTGTTCTTTACAATGAATTTGGTTCAGAAATGAGACATAGATGAAGCAACATTCCTTTAGAAATGGCAACGAGTACATTGTTTTCGACATGATGGTTCTTTCTCCAGTTTGGATAATTATAGAATTCTTTATTGTAACGTTCTGAGACGATGAGAATATCGCAAGTTTTCACTTGCGTTCGGTTGCTTCTACAAGACAATGCATCAAGTCATAAAGCTAAGAAACAAATATTTTTCTCAGATGCTATCTTCGCAGTAGTATCAGTACCAATCGTGAAGTATTGCTGATTCATCGCGTGAAGCTCGACATTATCAGCTCAGTTGAAAATAGTGCCTAAATGGCGCATGATATTGGTGGAACATGTTTAGATGCAGGCCGTGAGAACGGAAGCTTTGAGGCGAAAGGAAAGGTGGTAACCGTTTGTTACCATGCAGTTTCTATATCTTTTCCATAGCATTCGAACGTTATTCACAGTGGTAATCCACTTCCGTACCCATTATATTTGAAAACCCTAGATTTATTTTTTTTTCCGAGGTCAATCCATAATGACACATTCTCCATTTTAGCTCTACGCAGGAAACTGATACCAAAACACCTAGGATGCTTGGTACACATAAGTTAAAAAAACTTCCAAAGAAGCTTCTAATTGCAGTAAAAATTCTCGTACCAATATATAAATGTAGAAAAGAATTATTTGAATAGGATCAAGATCACTGTTTATTCATTTAAGTCTTCCAAATGCAGTTGACTTTGTCTAGTTACTTTCCGAACAGCTTATAAGAAATTTTTGCCTTTACCATTGCATACTGTCGTAGGGTAATTGGTATTATGCAATCAAAAGACCAATGAATCGAATTCCAGAGAGGACTTCATGGTGCAATCAGTAGCACATCTGGCTGGCAATCGGAAAATCCGAAATTCGATTTTTATTAAAAGCCTAACTTATTTAGTTTCATGTTTCTGAAACTTACTGTTTACTTTCCCTGGAGGAATAGGTATCTAATAGCCGTATCAGTTTGATATCTGCAGTCTTTATGTGAGGTAACAAAACTACAGTCTTTAACAAAAGTTACTGTTGATGGTTAAATTACCATTGGTGTTGTTTTTATTAATGTAAGGTAATGAGATGAATTTTGAGATAAGTATAATTTTAGCTAAGTATATCTAATACATAGGAAAATGTTTAATAAAATGAATTCTAATTTTGTTAACTTCTAAGTGGGTTTTTTTTCCAAATTTATGCGATATATTAAAAATCTATTCATTTCAGGCATGGAAACGCAGTTCGTTCTTCTGAGACCCAACCAAAACTTGCTTCTGACACCCTTTGATCACGAATCTATTATGTTATACGGAAACTATGCTTTCTCTAAGGATCGCAAATCTAAGACGATGGTTGCAAAGAATGGTAAACCACTTAAGGAGCCTTATGACAAACAAGGCCTCTCCAAGGACGATATCAAGCGTGTCAAAGAGATGTATAAGTGCAAATAACTGGATGATTTTAAAAAACACAGCTGCTGTTTCATGTATTTGCTACTGTAAAAAATGTGGAAATAAAATTAGAGGAATATATATATATTTTTTTTTTCATTTACTTTAGCTCAAAAGGATATTTCTACACTACTCAACAAATCTGAAAGATAATGTAATATGTAATAGAAGCAGATGTCTAACTGATGAGATTTCCCCACCGCCACTCCCGAAAGGTTAAAAGGATTTAAGTAAAAAATTAAATGCCCAAGCAATTATGCATTCCTTTTAAATTAAAGTAAAATTGTAACTTTACGAGGGATGATTTAAATATTTCTTGTGTTAAAAAAGAATTAAACAAAGCAATAAAAAAACAAGCTTTTTAAGATGAAACTACACTAATGACAAAAAACATAGTTTCATTTAGCACGGATAAAATGAGATTTTACTGCAATTATTTAATAGCACCTTATTCAATCCTGTTGGATAATGCGCACTAATTAGAAAGGGATTTTTTTTTTTTATGTGGATATATGTCAGTGATGTCAGTAGTTTACTTTTCTTCATGTCTCAAACAGGCTCAGTCAGATTTAAAACTAATGAAGTGGATGGCAGTTTTGGCCCCTTCATATTTTGCAGCCAACTTCCAGTATATCTGTTACCATATTGTGCTTTCTGTAACAGCACTTTACTCTTCATAATAATGAAAAATGTTCAGGTTTAGAAGTAAGATTGACAATAAGTAACAGTATTTCATCTCTGTACCTTAATGTAGCATCTCTGTATCTTAATGAAGTACAAGTTATTTCGAGTACTAGTATTCATGTTTTCTCAAATCAAATTCTTGTTTATAAAACACATTTCGTTCTTTTACAATAGAATATCATAGCAGGTTGTCTCAGATAAAAATTCATGAATTCTGTACATTGAATCTCAATCCATCTTTGAATAAAAGAGATTGTTGTTTTTCAGCAACCCAATCTCCTTATTCTTCAGCTTTACTTTCAAACACTGAATTGATAACATTTTATAGGCATAGCTTACCAGCGGACGAGCTTTTAAATCGCTAAACACTGGTAGTTCTAAACTAGGTTCGAATTCAGCTGCACGGGTTCGCTGCATGGGCGTTTTCGTGGTATTCTCATTATGTAACGTGTATACGAGTCAGTTACACTTAGAAAGTGCTCCAAGAAGGCATTTCTATCCTTAGGTAGATAGCCCTATTGAGCTCTGCCATTATAAAGTAAGCCAAAAACAAAGCCATATGGGCATCTCTTGTGCTTGTAGGGTAAGAAAACGGCAAATAGTTTGTCTAAATGATGACGAAAATTGTATATATCTGCTAAGAATGAAATCTTGAACTAATGCTGAAGACTCCAGTGAACATATAATGAGCTGACACAGAGTAAAGAGGTAGCATATTTAGTTTATTTAACATTCTGTGATATATGCAAGTAACTTACAGGAAATATTTTACATTACAAGATTAATGTTCGTTAGTTCTTCGTCGAAAAAAGAAAACAGGATTTAAAAAAAAAAAAAAAAAAAAAAACATCTAGCGAATAATTTCTGCTAAAGTCCTTGTTCGAGTCAGACATTAAAAGTTCTCATAGGTTTTCTTTCTATTTGGCGCAGGTGAAATTCTCCGGGAAGGCAAACAACCTTGTTCCCTCTCCCGGCCGCAGCTGGCCATTCCCACAAGTTGCTCTCAAATTAGCAGGAAATTCGGCTGCCGCTTACTGAATCTCTTCGCAGAGATAAGAATGCTCTTCATACAGCGAACGAAAAAAATTGCTCTTTGACAGAGCTGGAAATACACGAAAGGTTTTCCTCTTTTTCACTAAAATTAACTAACTTCTTTTTCTGGAGCGGGGTTCTCTGTTTTAGCTCACGATTTTCTGGATGTATCGGAAAGACTTTCTGACTTCTCATTTGCCCGAAATATTCAGAAGGACTCTCGCTTAGCACCGTCATTGTTTGCGGGTGTGATATTTAGAAGCCTGGTGAAATTTCCATGAGCCTTCTCAGACTCTGACTTAGAACATAATCCAGGATTCATCTGCATCTGCTTGTTCGGTGACAGGCAATCGACACATAACAATACAATTATAAACAGAGAAATTAGAAAGGTATATGTAGGAAAACAGTGTTTTAACGAAGGATTCCCGCGTTCCAGTGTTTTTTCAGGAAGGGAACAGGATTTTTCAGGATGATCTCCTTGCGACCGATGTGAAAGTAAACAAAGACATGAGTACGGTACGTGATTACAGGTAATGTTCAGTTTTCCAGAAAATCGCGCAAATATTAGAAAATAAGAGGGGTGGGAGACTCTCTGACCCCCCTGGGGTACTCTCCTTCAAAATTGGGGGGATAGAAGTCCAACCACTCTTTGGAGTAGGCTTTGGCAACCATTCTTCCTTGTAATAAGGACACAACAACAACAAGTACAACATTAGAAAGTAACGTTTCCGAGAATTTCGAGCTGGTCAATAGAAAATAGCTGAAGACGATACATACATTAATGACAAACAGAGATTTTTCTCTTTGGATAAATAACCGCTTTTGATCTCGCCCTAGTCTTTAATATTCCATTATGTTGCACGAAAATCGTTCTATTATATTGTTCGATGGAATAGATACCACAGAATTTCACATTCTAGGAGACTTGTAATATTTTCAGCAAAATTCTGTTGAGTTCTGGGAAATTTCCATTCTTAAACTACATGGGCTTAGTTTACAATTTTAGCATTGCAATCAAATGCTTATAATATAGCATTCTAATTCCACTTTAATTTACAGGCTTCCACGCTTATTTTTGTTTTATAATATATTACTCCTAATTTTGTTGAGCAAAATATGACATTAAGGAGCAGAATATGTAAGGAATAATAGTATTCCTGGAAATGATTGATAGAATGTTCAGCCAATACTAGAAGATCTGTGACATAATCCCGGTGAGAGCATAGCTGGATTTTTCATGTTCCCTGATTCAAAAAAAAATCTAATGTCTTTATAGTAGTACCAGAACTAAAAATGTGGTGGATGATAATTCATCTCTACCTGAATTTGGTTGACTGCGTCTCATGCTTTTTTTCCCAGTCGCCCTTTAAGTGAAACAAATATAAGGAATTACTGCATTCCATGGTGTCTGCTCTCATGGTATAAGTGGTAGAGCAGTTAGTTGCAAATGGAAGATCAGCGGTTCGAATCCCGGTGACGAATAGATACAAGTTCCGAATTATCGAATAGACAACAGTCTTTCAATCTTAAATGCTCAGTTTTCTGAAGAACATGATACCATTCATCTAAAAATATATACTGCTCGCCAATAAATTTCCTACATTAGGAAAGAAAGCAAATAGCAATATCTTATTTATTGTACATATACAGTATAATTGGGAGAACCATTATTAAATTTCCAAGAGCATTGATTTACACAGAGTGCAGAATTCAGCACACAAACCAGTTACCTACGTCAGTAAAAATTGCTGTAATTAGGCTGGACCCCCCCAGGGGATTAACTCAGGAGAATTCCTAGGAAGTAATGGCTAGAATCTGTACTTGGGCAGTCTGAACCATGGGGACACATAATTTGACTTCACAGAACTAGAACCCCGTTTATTCGGAGGTAGGTTCGGGCTCGGCAGGGACCGTACTGGTAGTATCGTGTCCGTTTCTTCAGCTGTTTTGGAGCTAGATCGAATTTCCCCGAACTAGTCCTCGGGGTTTTGCACCCCTTAGTTCCTAGTAATGGGGACTGACAGAGCGAACGCAAGCATTTTTCTACATTGTCTCATGCTTTGTATAAAGCCAGGTAGGGACTGTGGGGTCTGCGCCTCCGTAGAAGGGATCTCATGAGCTTGGACACACTCACCCCGATAAGGATCCCAGGACAGGGGTCCGGTTTTTGCGCTCTGTAATTAGACTGGGCATACATAGCGTCGAAAAGCTTGAATGACAGATTCGGGAATTTCATTCCATGCGTCTTCAACTCTGTGCCAAACTTGATCAATTGGAGTGGATGGCGAGTGGTAGTGTACAAGTCTCTTGGCAATCCCCGAAGAGATGCCCTCTGTTGCTGAGAGATCAGTAGAACGTGCTGGCCAGAGCAACACTCCTACACGCTATATACAGAGGAAAGTCAGAATGGCGTGAACAACATGCAGTCGAACATCATTTTGTTAAACGATGGCGTCCCGCAGGACTCGAAGAAAGGGCAAAGCCATTAGCCATTACACGCTACAACTATATCGGCGCCTATCCATATTACTGACTATGCAAACAACAGGTGACCGGTGCCATACTGACAGTGGTACCCCGCATCCCACTAAGTACCCAGTGGCACCCCTCTACTAGCACACCAGGTGCTTGTGCCGCATGCCAATGACGAATACAGGCCGGCAACGTTCGTCCTCGTAATTGCTTCCATATTCGGATATGTCCATAATGATGCTGTACGTAGAACTGAGATTCGTCTGAAAAGACAATGTGGTGCCACGTCTGGTCTAGTATTGCCTTTCGTCTCACCAATGTAGTCTGTTATTTGTTTGTTTGTAATTCCCACAAATCTACAAAGTTTTCCCTAATCTTATGAAATTTTGCCCACTCGACCCTCAAAACAAAAGGTCACTGTCTATAAGATTTCGAAAAACTACCCCACGGTGTTCACCCTCTTCATCTATACAGACTTTGTGGTATAATATAAAGGTACAATAATATAAGGTATTTTCCCTTATGCACCTGTCCATATTTTGGCAGATTTTTAAATTACAAACAGTTTATAATTATAAGAATAATTTATAGATACACAAGCATACACACCATGATAGCCCAAATGTCACAATTATTGGATCTCGGCGTGTGCTTGGCTTCTGTTTCACAGGCACCATAATGCCTGGCAGGTGCATAATTGAAAAGCGCCGAATTTTTAATCAAAAACTTAGCTATTTAGAAGCCTTGTGTTGATACTCTTCAAAACGTAAGTTATTTACATTTCAAATTTAACGAGAAACCTCAGCTTTATAAAAAAAAAGTGTATTGCCACTCGGGAGAATGCAAGGATGAATTAAATTCTATATACGCGAAATTTTAAACCTTGTTTAAAAC